CTCTCTTTCTCTCTTTGAGACGACAGCCGGCGAAGGTTCGACACGATTTTTTTTTTTTTTTCGGTTAAATGTTCTTGCATAAAAAAAAGCGATACCTTTCGACCAGTAATCCCAATATCTTGTGTGTCGTGAAAAGAAAGAAAGCACGTTATGTATATAATATTGTCGTGTATATCAGAGGGTTAACGCCTTAATCGCGAGAAGATATCGAGCATCGAAGCAAACAGAATTTCGGACCGATGATGGAGTCAGGATTGGGCCGATATTTTTTTTTTGTAATCGAAAACAATATATAATTCTTCCAAAATATCCAAATAATCGAGTAAGTTGTTATAATTATTCAAATAACATTATTTATCGAAACATTACTTATATTATTTTTCTCAGATAAATGAGATTTTTTTTTTTAATTGAAATTCATAGAAAAATTAATTCTGTTGAATGAAATAATATCTATATATATATATATATTTTTTTTTTCAAAATATTTAAATATATATCAGATTAAAATTCAAAGTAAAAATAATTTGAATAATTATTTAAATGAGAATTTTTATTTTTCGATTACGCCCAATCTTGGACAGAACATGCAATTGATCGCAAAAATATTCAATCAAATATATTTGTTTATCTAGCTTTATTCTAACGATGTTCTTTCGATGTTTTATAATGACTCGAAAATTTATATTCGAATAATTTTACGTTAGTGAAAAAGAATACTTTTGTGACCAACTGTAGGTAAGGTATATCGTCGAGATTTATATTCATATGTAATACTTTCCACATCGAGTACCAGAGGTCTGGTTACTTTTTCGCTACCGGTTTCAGAGGGCACGCTTCTTACCCTGGTGTATCAGTTCCTCGAAATTGCTAACACACAGTCCCTTTCTTACGTTACGCCAACTGTCCCATATCTTAAAAGGTCTCTTGGTCCGTAACTCCTGCACAGAAATTAACTGATGCAATTTGCGTTTGAGTCACGATATTCCACAGAACAGCCTACCGGTTTCATTTTAATTATACGATTCGAATGAAACTGAATAATGGAGGATAAAGAAAAAGACGGTAAATTTAGAAATAATTTTTAGCAATTAGATAAACACAAAGGTATAGATATTGGTATAAAAATAAACACTGGAAGAAGAAAATTTAACAGTTTTGATTAAAATTGTTAGAGAATTGGTGAAACATAAAAATACAAAGTAAATATAAAGTTTGTAAAAATAAAGATTTGAAGGGAAAATGCAAGGAAATCGGCATATTGACATAATTAGAGTTTTTAGAATTGAAGAAACACAAAAGAGATTCGATATAAAAATAGATACATTGGACGGCAAAATGTAGAAAATCAATTGCGATATATAATTATAGATAAGATGATACAAATTGAAATGGCGACGAAGATTAAAGGATAAAGAGAAATAGCAATATTTAGAATCGTAAAAATCCAAATCGTCCAAAAATGATCCATCAATGACAATCCAGAATTCGGTTAAAAGATATAAAAGATTAGAAGAATGGACGATTTTCTTGATGTGGAAATGTGGAAAAAGAACGATAAGATCGAAAAATGATGTATCAATGGGAGGATCGGTTCGAAAACGAGACGTAATTGCGTGCGAAGAAAGCGTAAAATCCTCGAGCAAACCGTGGAAAATGCTTATCGCCTAGATGTTAAGTGGAGTGTCTGCGCCGGGTCAACGGGAAAGTAATTTACCCTACGTGTTTTATACACGGTAACTAAGTAGAACAGACTATAAACAAAGCCTATCGCGCGCCTCGCCTGGGAAATTATTATCGAATATCCATATATCCTTGCAACGACTAAGTCTTCTATTTTTTTTCTCTCTCTCTCTCTCTCTCTCTCTCTCTTTCTTCTCTTTTTCCCCCTGTTTTTCTTCGAACGAGAGTCGTGGAAAAAAATAGACATTCTTCTTTAGGACTTAATTTAACAGATGGAGGACGACGACACATCGTACAATCACGTCTCTAAAGCAGGAACAGGAAAAGATTAAACGTATAATAAAAGATTAAATTACTCGCAGAGAGAAGAAAAATAGGACGTACAGGATGTGCAGAAAAATAATATTCCGAGTCTGATAACGTGCAAATTGGAACAAGTTTGGTATCGAGTATCCTTTAAGAAAAGGGAGCAGTTCGTATCCTAGTGTAGCAGCGTTCGTTGAAAAAGAAAGAAAAAAAAAAAAAAAAGGAAGGAGAAAAGAGGAATCTCGCCGATTAGAATTTCGATACGCGAGATATTCTCTCGACGACGAGAGAAGGAGGATTTTTCTTAAGGGGTGGATCGAAAAAGGATCAGGTCGTTCGATGGCGTACGTTACAAAGGAAGGCGAATGTACTTTTATTTTCTAAACACCACCCCTTCGAAATGTGGGTGCACGATCGTCTTAAGGCGGCGTTTCGTGAGCATGAAACTCAATGGGCACCGATTACTCGATTATCGGGGTTAAGGGATCTTTGGATCGCAATGGGATTATTCGCAAACGATATTAGAATAATGCGAGCCAAAAAGGAATATTATGTTTGGGTTGTCCCTAGTTTTCAACAGGGAGGCGCAAAGTGAACAAGGCGCAGACGCAGGCGCAACTTATGGTCGAAAACACTGACCTGATTCAATCATTCTCGGGTAAACGATCAAAAAAAAAAAAAAAAGAAAAGAAAGAAAGAAAGAAAGAAAGGAAGGAAAAGAAAAAGGGAGAAAGAGAAAGAAAAATGTAGGGAGAGCGACGAATGGAAAGGGGGAAAGAGACACGATAACGATATAGGTTGGTAGGTGGCAAGGAACGCGGAGAATCGGGTGACCAGGGCCAACGCACGTTCGGCGTGTTGCACTTCTGTCCTAGAATGGGAATCACACTCGATGCAGCTTCTCTCCGGAGCACGATTTTGGTAAACAATACGCGGTGAACCGCTGTTTACTAGAATCGAGGCCACGCCGATCCTGTGGGATTGCGTGATTAGGCAGGAAAGAAGCATAACCTAAAAGGGCTGGTGCGCTGATCAGCGTACGCAGCTAGGTCAAACGCTCGAAAGTCTCGAAAAAATAAATGCAGGGCAGTGGGAAGGATGATGATCGAAAATATAGGAATATATAGAAACGAAAAAAAGGAAAGGAAAAAAAAAAATATAGACGTGAACGTGGACAGGTGTCGGAACGAAGGGATAAACGTAACAAAACGAAGATGATATGCGGTATTTTCGATCGCAAAAACTCTACACTTCCCACAGTCTATGCGTGTATACGCGTGAGTCCGCGACGCGAATGCGTATAACTGGCCGACACTGCATATCTGACATGGATAGATAAAGTAAGGGTATATTTGGATGATTGTCGAGACGTATTGTCGAAAACGATGAAAAATAGGGAGGATTAGAAAGAAAAGAAAGTCTTGGATTAAATAGGATGAGAGATGTGATTTGAAATTTAAAATCGAAGAGACACGCACAAGGGGTGGTAGTAGGAGAGACAGGCGGCGGATGTAAGGAGCTGATGGTCGAGCACAAGTGATCGGTAATAAGAATGCAATATAAATGCGTACCTCTCTTGCCATTACGTCATATCCCTGCAGGTAAGGGACCGTCCCAGCAAGCACTTATTCAGAAGGAACGAGTAAAGAAGCTGCACGTCGCATTATCGTGGCGACGGGATGCTCTCGTGCACTACTGTCCGCCCACCCTTGCTTGCGCTCTCTCTCTTTCTCTCTCTCTCTCTTTCTCTCTCCCTCTCTCCGTTTCTTCTCTCTCTTTCTCTCTCTTTCTCTTCCTCGTCCCGTTTTTCTCTCGAATTTCTCTCGTATTCACACGTCTTTTTCCCGTCTTTCTCCTCTCTCTGCTTCTTTTCTTCTTGCTCGATTTTCTCCGATTTTCACCCAACCCTCTCTCGTGATCTTCTCGCGACCGTTTCTCCGTCTCGTGCACCGTACACCGAAACACCTTGCGATGCGACACCGTTTCTCTTTCCCTTTCTCTCTTCCTTCCTGTCCTTCTCGCGCTCTCGATCTCCCTCTCCCTCTATCTTTCTTTTCCTCTCTTTCTCTTTCTACGTGTACGCGTATCTCTCCCTCTCCCTCTATCTTGGCTTGTTCCTCTTTCTCTCTTTCCCTTGTAGTAGTTCCGTCTATCTCTGTGGCGCGCTCCTCGCGATTCTCCCTCTTTCTCTCTCCCTCTCCCTATATAGACATCCGTCGCTTCCTCTCCGTTACTCTCTTTTCGGTCAGCCTCGGCACTGAGTTCGGTTCGTTCGGTGGATTTCCGCACTGTATCAGCACGGATATCGGCGTGGCGTATCGCGCGAGCTCGAATCAACGCGCGGGCCGAACGCGAACGACCACCTCGCGGGAACACCTCATTCTAGCTGCTCTCTCTCCGTACAATTACCCGATCTAAGATTTCACTAGCGCATATGGGGGCAAATTGTAACAGTGGCTTCCTCCCAGCGGTTACTGCGGCGACTCCTAGTTTTAGATCGATTCTCTCTCGGTGTACGTACAGACACCCTCGCCCTCGCCCTCACCCTCACCCTCACCCTCACCCTCACCCTCGCCCTCGCCCTCACCCTCACCCTCGGCTCTCCTTCTCCCCACGAGTTCACCCGCAACAACCTCGCCCCACGCGCGCCTCTCTCTTCCGACTGACGACCACTGCCTCCTCGTATCCCCTACGATCTCTTCCCAGTGGCTACCCAGTTCCCGAATTTACTAGTTCCCCCCCTCTAGACGGTGCTGACTACTCTGACTCTAAGCGAACCCTTTAGCGACGCGCCGTATCTCGCAGTAACGACGAATTCTGTGTTACCATTCGCTCAATCGATAACTGGGTTTGCCATCGTTTAATCAAAAAAGAGATTTAATGTGTGTGTTCATGCGTTTATGTAGACAGGTTAAGGATTTAATATAGATTCATAGACGAGATGTAGAACGGATCTATTTGTAGAGTACTAAAGAATAAACGTAATATTCTTCAATTTTAGTATCATTATCTATGTTACCGATTTAATATAAATAAAATTGGTGATAAGTAAAATTAAACATAAATTTTCACATAAAATCTTAATTTTGGTAAGACCAAATATCAATTAACACATTAAAAAACATTATTTTATATATGAAAAAATAAAAATTATCTTCACTTATGATAAAATTAATAATATCCCATTTTTATTAAAACAAAAAAGATTATGATTAAAATATCCAATCTGCATTAAATACATTAGAAATAAAAAAATTGAAAAAAACGTGCAATAAAAAATGCTAATTTCAATAGAAGTAAATATACAAATAATAAATATTTTTAAAATTAAAATTTAAAAAAATGATTCTAAATTCGAAAAATGACAATTGCTATAGATAAATATGCAAATAACATTTCATAGATAATTATATAAAATTTTATAAAAATTCTTGTTCTTGGAAATATTAGAAAAATTTCACGAGTTACCTTCTATCCAATTATATTCTTCTAATACAAAATCGAAAAAATTCGGCAAAAAATTTCTGCTTCAGAATTCTTAAAAAAATTTCACGTGTTACTTCTTGTCTAATTATATTTTCTTAATAAATCTAAATTTATTAAGAAAATTTTTTTAAGAATTCCGAAATAAAAATTTTTGTCTAATTTCTAGAAGAATATAATCGTAAAAAAAATGACATATAAAAATTTACATACAAATATCTATAAAATAAATATACAATATATAAAAATTGAATTTTTATATATTAAGATTTATAATCAGTAGATTAAGATAAAAGAAAACAATAAAGTTAATTAAATGTCGGAATTCTCTGAGTGTATTTTATGGAGCAAATATAGATAAAGAAAAAAAATAGTAGAAAAAGGATAAATATAAGATAAAAATTGATGATTAGTGCCATCTCTTGAGAGTTAATGATATCTTTTCAAAAGTAGAATAAATAAAATAAGAATTATGGAATAGTGCCATCTGTTGAGAAACAAAAAACTGTATTTTTAAAAATAACTAAAAGATGGCGTTAATTCTCAATTCTTATTCTACCTTACCTTTGAAAAAAAATATTTTTGGGATGGCAATAAATGTCAATTCTTATTATATTTATTCTTTTTTTTTAATTTGCTCTCCTTGTTTTTAAGTATCTATGGCACTCTAAAGATGGCATTGATTTCTCAATTTTTAACTTATCTATCGTTCTCGCACTATTTGTTTTGCTTGTTTATATTTGCACTATAAAATTTATATACTTAAGAAACGACTCCGATTTTTGATTAATTTTATCGTCTTCTTTGCCTAAGCTTTTGATTAAAAAAATCTTAAATCATCGATATTTTATTGCATAAATATTAACACGTAAAATCTTAATTCTACTCTTTATGTGTTTTGTGTTTAAATCTTAAATCTTACGCGCTCTTTAAATTGTGTATTTATTTTACTTAATTTCAAATACTGTGTAAAAAACAGATGTATCCAAATGTTTTACCATCGTGTTACCTTGACATTACCTTGACAACCAAAAATTCACCTATAAATAAGGGATGAAGAACCGTTGAACATTCAGTTCGAGATACGAGTCTATTCGACGTAAACGATATAAATTTTCGATCGATTGATTATGATTAACATCAATCATCCAAAGATTTGCGGAAAACCACCTGTAAATAAATCTTTTGTAACAAAAGAGTTAAAACAAAAAGAAATTACGGATAATAGCAAGGAAAAAGAGATCGATCATGATCCCATTGTTATGGAAAATACAAAGAAAATTGATTGTAATGAAAATATCGTCGAATCGACTATGTGCTCATTCGAACAAATTTGTAATATAATTAGTGATCTCGAAAAAGATATTAACGCAAAGATTCCAGAAATAAATCAATTACAGGTTCGAGAAACAAAATTATAGTGAACATTTTATTCGATTGAATTGATTCAAATATTTCTAATTTTAGTTAAAACCAGAAAAAGACGTATCTCATGGGAAACATGAAACGAGTGGTACTACTTACGACGATATAATGACCTTCTTGACAAAGCTCGAAGATGGTAGCTTATATTACAATATATGGGTTCTCAACCTGTGGGTCGCGACCCCCAAGGATGTTGCCAAGTGATTTTTGTCATCAAAATTATTTTCATTCGCAATTATTTAATTAAATTATATAATAAAAATTCCGAAAATTTATTTATTTTGATATAGCTATATGATAATACAATAAATAGAAGTGATTTATATAGTTCATCGCGCGTTAAAAAAATGTTAAACATTCATCATGATGACATATATTAAATATTTTATATTTACTAAAATAAGCTTATATATTTCTTTTTGAATTTCATTTATCATTCATTCTTAGAAATAATATCTTATATTTATTCAACTCTATTAAAAATGCATTTTTATATAAATTATATAAATGAATATGGAAATGCAAGTTATTTGGCTATTGTAAATGGGGATCGTATCTCAGAAAATATTGGAAAACACTGTGATAATAATTCAATCGTTATTAAAATTTCAATCTTCGTCGTTCCTTTATAATTTTTATAAATAACTATGCATATACGTCAGGTACATTGGACGAGACAAAGATCAACATCCCAGAGGTAGATGCCGTTATGTTTGAAGACATGTTTGGCAACTCGCAATCTTTGTCCTGTATCAATTTCGATGAGTAAGAAGTTTTTATATTAAAATCACACATAGAAGATAATTACGAAAATTTTGTTCTATTTTTTTAGCATAGGACCAACTAATATCGAGATCAATAATACCCATGCATTCAAAGAAGATTTAATCACAGCCCAATTGCAACTTGAGGAAAAAGAGGCCACTGTATCGCTCTTGAAGGAACAATTGAAGACTGAAAGAAAATTGGCGTGTGAGAAATTGGAAAGTCAGAAAAAGAGCAGTAACTCCAAGTTGCAACAACAAGAGGAGAAATACAAAGGAATAGTGAAGAGACATCAAAAGTTTATTGAACAGTTGATCCAGGAGAAAACCGATCTGACAGAGAAATGCAATTCGTTGGTGCAGAAGGTGAAAGAGATAGAGATAAAAATGCAAAGAGATTTAAAAGCTGCAGCCGACAGGCACGTGGTGGAGTTACAAAGAGCGAAGGATCATTTGGCTGCTGCTGAGAAGATAAAAAGAGAGCGATGGATAGAGGCCAGGACGACAAAGATCAAGGTTTTGATTCATTTAAGAGATTTCATTTAGAATTATCGATTTTCAATGATTTACAATTCGTAATGGTTTAAAGGAAATGACGGTAAAGGGTTTGGAACCTGAACTACGTAATATGATGGAACAACACGCGGAAGAGATTCAAAAGTTGAGAAATTTACACATGAAGGAATTGCAAGACACCGAATTGCGTATCATACGTCGATCTAATCAACAATTGGAACAACTGCGTCTCGAGTTGACGGCCAGTCACGAGAGAATGTTGGCCAACGAGAAGAATATATTGTGGACCAGGTGTAGAATTAATTTTTTAGAGAAATCTGATTGAAACAACTGCGCAACAAGCTGAAATCGTTCCTTCTCGTTTGTTCAGGTACCAGGAGAAATTGGAGGAACAAGAAAATCAATTTAAAACCCAGCAAGCGAAACTTGTGGAAGAATTGCAATATGATAGAGATAAGTTTGCCAAGGAACAGACGAAAAGAGATACTGAAATGGAAGCTAATTTGCAGAAGATACATATGCAATATAAGGTAGAGATAGAACTGGAAGCTTGGAAAACAAGCTTATGAAAAATATTTATATTTTAGCAAGAAATAGATGTTCTGAAGCAACAGCATTCGAATGAGAAAAAGACACTTCAAGAGTCAATGAAAGCTGAATGGCAAACTTGTTTAACCGAGTATAAGAGACAACAAAATTTAAGAATAGAACAAATTGAGAATAAGATAAAGGAAGAGTGTAATAAGGAGAGGGATCGGCAAATTGAGCTTGTCATAGAACGCTTAGAAAAAGATTCTCGAGATGAAAGATTAACTCTTCAACGAAATTTTGATTGCAAACTTAGGTATATATAACTATTGAGATTGATTCTTCTAACGATGCTTCAATCATGTATATATTAGCTATTTTTTAGATCCTTAACAGAGAAATACGAAATGGATTTACAAAATGCAATTGATAATGAACAGCTTCATAAAGGTAAGTTAATTCAAACGAAGGATAAGCTTGAAAAAACACAAACTCAATTGCAAGAAGCGGAGAACAAATTGCAAGAATGTGTAACTGAGTTGAATACTGCAAATGAGGTAGGGCTTTTCGTAAATTTTTAACGAAGATAATCCTTTATAAATTCATAAATGAGTGTATCATATATTTTTCGAATAAGAATTGGTACATATCTTTAGGTAATTAAACGATTAAATATAGAACGAAATAACGCAAAGAAAATTGTGAGGCAAGAAATTGAAGGAGAAAAAAGAGAATTGGAAGAAAAAATTGCCTCGCTTTACCAGGAAATAACTCGTATAAATGCAAACAGAGATGCCTCGATGGCTCAGTTACACAGCAGGTTCGATATATACATATATATATAAATATATATTAATAATAAATAATAACATAAACCATACCGATATTTGTTATGATTTTATATTTTAGAATTAAGTTGATAATGACACAAAAAGTTTTAACGATCAAAAATCTGATTAAAGAACTTAACGACACAAAATTAAAATGCGAACACTTGGAGAAGTTATTGGATCAACAACGAAGGGACTATATTTTAAAAAGTTTATAAACGATTTGTCGCTTATTTAGTTGTATATGTTATTTGTTGTATAATAGATATTTTATATAAAATAAATAAAATGATTTGAAATGATTTATGTGCCTATTAATATTAATAATTTACACAATTATTTGATAAAAAATAAATTTCCAACCACTTCTAGGATATCTTTTTTTTCCCGTTTTAACGTATCTTATATTATAATACAATGAAAATGTATTATTTTATACGAAGCAACAAAAAAAAAAAATTTAAAAGCTGCAATATTTTTTAATTACAAGAGATTGGTTATGAAAATTTCAGTTTAATTTTTTAAATAATTATATACGAAATCTTAAATAAGATTATACTTTCTTTACAATTTGCACGACATCCTCATCACATAATATGTGATCTTTTCCGACCTTCTGTGGCTGATGTTTAACGGACGATCCCCATACAAGAGCACTAAAAATAATATAAGTATTGAATACAATAATCGAGAATAAAAAACAATTGCAGATACAATTAAAAGGAATATACTTACTATTTGAACTCTTTTGCAATAGATCGATGTAATTTATTACAAAAATCTTCAACTGTTCGTCTTTCTCTGTTTAATACTACTGGGGAATTATAATCTGGTAATTGACCCTTTGGTTTAGTATAACTAAAAAAGAATCAAATAAATAAACCAATTTATTTTAAAAAATGATGAAATAAATTCTAAATTCCGGAAACATACATTCTAACAAGCTGTAAATATTCCCACATTTTTTCAAGCAAATCATCAAAATTCCATTTATGATGAGCAGAAATCGGTACGCAATGCGGTATTTTATAAATGATATCCAATTCTTCAATACTAATTTGATCTAGAATCAAATATGAGTAAGCTGTAATCAATAATTCAAGCAGATATTTTTCAATTTCTAATAACAATTACCTATTTTGTTGAGTAAATAAATACATGGTACATAAACACGATTTCCTTCAATAACATCAATTAAATCATCAGATGTAGCATCATAACGCAAAATAATATCTGCATTGTGAATTCTATACTCTGATAAAATACTTTTCACTGTTTCTAAATCAAGTTCTGATTGTGCACACTAATAAATAATACAATTAATTTTATTACATAATACGAGAATCATTTTAAAAAACTACACATGATTTTGTCGTCTTTTTTATATAAAATATAAAAAAAACAAATTTGATCATTTGTAGTTTTCTATGTCGCTCATCTTGTCAGTTATTACCGTCGTTTGAAAATTAATGCCACCTTTATCTTTTTTACGGAAAGTAATATTCGGCGGTTGTTTATTTAAACGTAATCCAAAACCTTCTAATTCATGTTCAATTAATTTTTTATGCCCAAGTGGTTTTAACACATCCAAAACAATAAATATTAAACTGCAAGTTCTTGCAACCGCAATAACTTGTCTTCCACGTCCTTTACCATCTTTTGCACCTTCAATGATACCAGGTAGATCAAGCAACTAGAAAATGCATCCAATAATTCATATGATATAACATTTTGTTGGATTTATATTTAATAGAGTAAATTAAAACCTGTATTTTTGCACCCTTATATTTTATACAACCAGGAACAGTAGTAAGAGTTGTAAATTCATATGCTGCAACTTCAGAATAAACACCAGCAAGAGTACTCAATAAAGTAGATTTACCCACAGAAGGAAAACCTACGATTTTAAAATAAATAAAATAAAACATTGCTCTGATAAAAATACACATATATATATTTGATTATACCTTAATACACACCAACAAAACCTATTCTAGCATCACCCGTTTTAGCCACTTCAAAACCTTGCTCCCCACCACCTCCACCACCCTTAGGAGTAATAAGTTCTCTTCTTAATTTAGCTAATTTTGCTTTTAATAGACCTAAATGGCCAGATGTAGCTTTATTTTTTTGAGTTCGAGCCATCTATAAAATAAAATTATAATATATAATAACAAATTTAAATTAATATAAAGAAATAAAAGATAAATTAAAGGTTACCTCGGCCTCGATTGAGGCAATCTTTTCTAATATTGTACTCATTTTGGTATAATTGAAAATTTATTTTAATTTATAATAAATATAAAACAAATGTTTTTCAAGCTCTTTCACGTTCTTCCATTACAAAATTCTAAGAATATATTACTGTATAAATTTCACACGTGCTGACAAGTTACAAGCACATGTTATACATCGTTTTAGAAAATCATTTAATGTACAGTCTTTAAGTATGATAAAAAGACACAAAACTTAAAGTCCGTTTTCAAACAATGTAAAACATTCAATTTCATCATAATATATTATATATATTAAATGTATAAATGAAAGAGTTATATTGTAATTTTTAATTATTGTTAAAATCAAATAAAAATAAATATATTAAGTCATTAATATTCATATGATTCTCAGAGAGATATCTACAATTTTAGATATGTTAATAAATTCTTATATAAATATATTTTTCTTAATTTTTTAATCTTCTAAATATTATTTTTTCATAAACTAAAAAAATGATAGATTCTTAGATTTTTAGAATTATAGATATTGTTAATAATTTTTTTAAAAATAATGCATTTTCTATTATCATTGTAGATCTTCATATTTTTCTTATATCTTTTACACAATTTAAAATACATAATAATTAATTATTCAACAAAATAATAATAATAATATTTTAAAATCTAGATTTCTTTTTTATATTCTTATATAAATATACATATAGTTTATAGAAAAAAACTTTGTTACGAAACTAAAAAATGTGACAGTTTTTTATTATTTCAAGCATTCAATATAAAATTTTAATATTCTAGAATTAGAGAAATAGTTTTCGCTCTTTTTTTGAAATTGATGTTTTCACAATACTAGATGGCATTAACTTCTAAACCGATTGTATTTTTGTACAAGTATAAATATAAAATAAATAAAATAAACATTATTGAACATTTAAATAAATATGGATTAATAAATTAAAATCACATTTCATATTTAATTCATTCAGAAATCAATTATTTAAATGATAAAACATACATAACCTATTAAATCTATAGTATATAAAACAATCATGCCTGTCTTTCAAGAATCATGTGCGGAGGTAATAATACTATAGTTAGATTATTTTAAATATATATAATGTATCATTATTTTATATATTTTTTAGCAAATTCAAGCTCAAACGATTATTATAATTCATCCTGGATCCATGTATCTTAGGATGGGAAGAGCATCAGATTTAAATCCTTGTACAATATTAAATGCTGTTGCTAGAAAACGTTTACCAGGGGGATTAGAATATAAAGACAGTTTATTACCATCAGCTATACCACGAGTAAGTTTGTTTACAAATGACATTTTATAAAGATGTTCCATTTTTAATTGCTTTTAGTAGACAAAAGAATTGACACAAGCAATGGAAGAATCTCGTTTGCAAGTATCTCATACATTACAATCCTGTCTTCAATCTGATGGAAGAAGAAGATATGCTACACCACCCCAACAAATAGCTGCTTTTAATCGTAGATCAAATCCAGAAATATCATCTCCATGTAGTGTTGAATGGATAAAAACTGATAAAGATGTTGTAGTTGGAGATGATGTATTATCATTAAATCCAGATGATAATTTTAATATCCATTTCCTATATAGGAGAGGAGAACTTAACATTCATTCTGGTCCTGGTGGTAGCTTAAGATCTGTTATGGCCAATTTAAAAACAATTTGGGAATATGTTCTCACAGAAAAAATGGATATTCCTTTAAGAGATTTGAAACATTATCGAGCTGTTCTTATAATTCCTGATATCTATAACAGGCAATACTTAAAAGAATTAACAACTTTGATGCTTTGTGATATTGGATTTGGAGCATGTTTTTTATTACAAGTTTGTATTAATATTTTTAAAAGATTCCTTCTATTACCTATGCCATTAATATATCACTATGTTCTAAAGGATCATGTAGCAGCTACATTTGGTGCAGGATTAGGATACGCGTGCGTAGTCGATGTTGGAGATCAAAAAACATCGGTTTCTTGTGTAGAAGATGGAATTTCTCATAGAAATACCAGAGTTCGAATGGATTATGGTGGAGGAGATATTACCCAAACATTTTTTTGGCTCTTACAAAAATGTGCTTTTCCCTATAAAACATGCGATCCATCTAACAAACTGGATGCATTACTCTTGAATCAATTAAAAAAAGACTTTTGTCATGTTGATTTAAATGTATGTGGATCTCAGGAAAAGACGTTTATAGTCCGTAAACCGAAACAACAAACTGAGAAATATACTCTTCAAGTGGGAGACGAATGTTTAGTTGCACCTTTAAGTTTATTTCAACCTGAATTATTTAAAGTTACTGGAACACATAGTGTACATATACAAAAGAGATCAATGGGAGATCCAGAAGATCCACACGATGAAAATTATTTACGAGAAACAAGTGTATGTAGAGTTACATAAGAAAATGAGTATGTTTATTTTTCTAACAAAAATATTAATTCTGTTATTGTTTAGAGAAGAGGCATGAAAGAAAATCTTGAACAAACATCTGAAATGCAAGAAGAAGCAACAGCACCAACTGTAGCAGGAGAAGAAGAAGTAGTTGTGGATGCAGTAGACTCCGCACCGATTACCTTATCGAATCGCGATTTAGATGCCCCGCGTGATTTTGTAGTAGGTCCTCAACAATTGTTAGGTTTGGATCATGCTGTTCTTCAAAGTATCGATCGCTGTCGTATGTATATCTAATCAATCCAATAAAAGCAAAAAAATTCATGAATTTTAATTTTTACATTTTCCATAGCCACGGAAGATCTAAAAAGGAAAATGTATAGTTGCGTACTTGTAGTTGGTTCAGGTATGAAATTCCAAGGTATAGGTATGTGGCTACATAATCGGATTTCTCTTCAAATTCCCTATATGTACAGAGCCGGTGTGTATTTTTGTATATAAATCTAAATACAAGAAAATTTCTTTTAACTTAAATTTTTTCTTTTTTTATATTATATGTAGAACAATTGGATATCATAACACAACCAAAAGAAATGGATCCTGGTATGACAGCATGGAAAGGAGCAGCAATTTTAAGTTGTTTAGAATCTGCTCAAGAATTATGGATTGGTCGGCAAGAATGGGAACGTACAGGTGTTAGGGTATTAAGAGAAAGAGCTCCGTTTATGTGGTAAAAATGTTTGAATTGAAAAAATTTTGCATTTAAATTGAAATATAAAATATTAAATTTAAATTTTGAATTGAAATTTTTTTATAGTTATATACCATTATTATCAAGCTATTTATTACATATATATTTCTTTTCTAATCTTCAATATTTAGCTTTAACAATTAAAACTTTATTTAAAAATAATATAAAATTGATGTATTTAATATTAATATTCATGAGATACTTTTGAAAAATTGATTTCAGAAATCAAAACAAAGATAAAAGTTAATATACAAAAATATTGAGGTTTATTTATTAAGTTATAATTAATTTATATAAATGAAGCAAAGCAAAGATAAAGAGAAGTAATGATATAACAAAGATTTCACTTTATGTCTTGAATTTTAATTATTTATAACTTAATAAAATCTTAACTGGTATTTTTGTCATATCTTAAGTCTTTTAGAATATATAAAATCAATCTTCCAAAAATATTTCATGAATATATTTACATTCTGTATATTTTAATTATACCTATAACATATCCATTAATCTCACTCTAGTTTTGTCATTTCTATGATACGTAATTATACCAGCCTCAATCAGGAAATTCATAAATACTAGAGTTTCTGGTGTAATAGATATATACATTTCATCTCCTCCTTTTGTATATGCTGATGTTAAGTTCTAAAAATTTTCATCCATTAAATAATAGAAGTTTTTTTATACCTTTAAATAATTTATATTTATTAGCTTACCCCTAAACAGTCTTTGAAATGTTGATTTTCTGGGAACAACATTTCTACTACCATATGCTAAACATTTACATAATTATAATAAATTAATCTTAAAAATAAAACATTATTAAATTTTATGTTTTTTATCATACCAAATCCTTTTTTACATTTTTGAACATGCGTTTAGTTATTACATGTTCTTTATTATAAGTTGTAGTATCTGTCAATTGTTCTGCATTCAAGAAGGCTTCTCGCATCTTTTCCGAACCCAATTTCTTCTTTTCTAAACTGAAACAAAAACGTAAAATTTTATATGACTTCAAATGAATTTATCATCATAGTAAAATCGTACTTGTTTATTTTACGAACTAAGATATATCTTCATTAATATTCGAAAGTTGCGTCTTCATTTTGTCAAGAAGTTGTTGAGCATTTAGCACTTCATTTTCAAGTTCTGTTAGAATTTCAATATGCAAATCAGATGTATGAGGAATCGGATAATCTTTTGGTATTTCCCGAAGAACTTTATTCAATAAACTTTTATACAATTTATATTGCTTTTTTCTTACATCTTCTGACGTGCAAGTTTTATTCAAAGCAATTGGTTTATTATTCATAATTATATCACACAAGTTTTCCATTTCTTTTTGTCGTTCTGTCAAAGTATCTTTCAAATTTTCAAAAGCATCTTCCAATGTATATTCCATTTTTTTATTTTTTTTTAAACTTCGTGAAACTATCGTGAAATAGAAAGTTTAAAATTAAGCACAACTTTTCTATAATATAGCGCGAAAAGAAACAGATAGGATTTTCATTAAATTATTTAATTGTATCAACAATACGTAATGATGCATAAATAATAAATTTGATGGAAATTAAATTTTGATTGCTGTTTTAAAATTTCTTTCGCAAACTTTAAGTTAATAAATACTATAGTTAATGCTGGCAACCAAATCATCTTTATCCCTATATTGACGCAATTGCCAACTTAAATATATTTACTAGTTCGTAATATAGTTATACAGTACGAGTCTTAATATAAAATTGAGGTTAAGTTAGTATGATGATGCGAGGTTAAGTCGAATGATCATAATGATGTGTAGTCGAATAAATGTCATTTTAAGACATTTTTATAAACAATCAACTTGGAATTATCGTTTGTGCTCAACAGTTTCACAAACAAGTAAGTAGAATTTTTATTTATTTTCTTGCATTATTAAAATATTTAAATGAATATGTAAATGTTACGTTTTTTTCTATTTGATATATCAATTTTTTTCTATTTAAATAATTTAAATAATTTACAGCGGATAACAGGGATCCCGCACCTTTATTTTTCGATGAATATGTACAAGAATTATTATTTACTTTAACACGTATAAACTATGAGAAAATTTTTTCAATACGCAAAGAGGGAAAACAACTGAAAACTCCGCAATATAAATTTATGACTGACAAGGAATTAAAACAAGCAAGATCAGAAATAATAATAAAAGCAAAAAATTGGATACAGATGCCACCTGTAGTAAAAATGAGATCAGATAAATGTGAAATACTATCTAAAGATCCTGCTTTGCAAGGTTATGAAACAAGCAATTTCATATTTACCGATATATCTTTTGGAAGCAATAATAGAAATAGATTAATTGTTGTTCGAGACACAAATGGTACATTGAGACATGCAAATTTCAATGAGAGACACAGAATGAACCAAATTTATTTCCCTATAGAAGGTAGAGAAATACATACACCAAAGATGTTCAACAATCCATATCTGAGCGTAAGAATATTTTACTTATTATTCAAAATCTAAAAAATGCTACTTTAAGAAAATTTCTAATTATATATTGTGTTTATAGGATCTATTGGATAGGGAAGAATATGAATTTATTCTAGATCGAGCGTGCTTACAATTTGAACCAGATGATCCAGAATACCACAGAGTCACGAAAGAAGTATACTCTTATATAAATAAATTGAAAAAATTCGATGTCTTGCGATCTACAAGGCATTTTGGTCCATTAGTGTTTTATCTTGTTTGGAAGAATGATATACACACATTATTAATGGATATAATAGAAAGCAAGAACATAAAAGAAGCAGCAGCTTTGATACGACTTTACCATTTAGTTTATCCTGAAACTAAATCTGCAAAAGAACTAACAGAGGATGATATAGAGTTAATCAGAACATATGCGATTTTGGACTCGGTGGATCGATACGAATTAACAAGTGCTATAGAAAAATACGAAAAATTTCAGAAGGAAAAAGAGAAAATAGAAATAGGAATAAAGAAAGCGCATGGGCTAATCAACAATGAAAATGGAAACTATAAACCGAAAACGTGAACAATCGTTCAAGTTCACCACTAGATCAACCTCTGTTGCTCTTTATTTTGTACAAATTCTTTCTATTGCGAATAAATAAAATCGTCATACAATCATAATATGCTTTCGATGATTATTAATCGATTATTTTATTACGTGATAGTTACTTACAAACATTTACAAATGTAACAAGTCAATTCGATTTGGCGTACAAGATCGTCGGAAAACATTATATATCGATTATTGGCTAATTGTTTTGGAAATAACTGAATCGATTCGGGTCCCGCTTTACGTCTCGCGGTCGAAAGGTGTGTGGCCAATTTCACACCTATCGAGGGAGAAATTATTGCCTGGTGGATCATGAATCATGGAAGATATGAATAATGAGATGTGATTTGGTTACGTAAAACGCATACTTTTATCAGAAAATAAATCGACGAACAAAAGAGGAAGAGTGGAGAAAGAAAGGGTTTAAATCAATATGAAACAAAATAGTACGCGTTAAGAGAAAGCAGCTTTGTACAAATGCAAATTATGCGATTGGATATTGCGTGTAAGTACCTACTGTTGTGAATGGAACAATATACAAGTTCGATTTAAAGATTCGAACGAGAAGTGCTTGTTCGTTGGGATTGTGTACCGTCTTGATCGTTTAATGCTTTGATAAACACTCGCAACTGAATACTGTAATCGATCGTTATTATCCATATCTTACTCATATTATTCTTATCGTTATATGTATATTAATAATTATTACTTCCATATAGATGTATTTCATGGTGTATGTAGAAAATAAATAAGAATACGATTACGATCGGCGTAGTAGATGAAACTTCTTAATTAACTATTGAGAATGAAAATGAAAGATAAATTGCGACAAGCAATAATGGACTTGAATGAAAAAGGAACAGAAAAGAAGAAGCAAGGAATCGAACCTATCGGCTATTAGGCCTCTTGAAGCAAAGTATGCGCATATCGATTATATAAGTATGTACCTCTGATTTCTGTCAAGCACTGGGAAGCACGGATACTTATTTCTTAGTTCTCGTCCTTTTTACGATAACAAAGCAGCGGATATTTTCCGTTGTTAATTTTATTACTTAATCTTACTGCATCTTTTCTTTTAGTTTTTTCCCCCGTTTAACGCCAATACCTTTACAAAGAAATCAAGACGTCTTTCAAAGGCTGACAGAAACTTGAGACTTGCGCGTGACAATTGCGACATGCTCTATCAACGAATTGACGCGATTCAAGCGAATTAATTTAATCAGCTAATTGAATTAGGAATGAACATTTGGCGCGAGTAGCGCGACGTTGACCGTGAAATCGTTCCAAAAAGAGTGCCAATTAGAAATATTAAGATTCGATTGGTCGATCGATCGATCAGCAAAGCGATAAGTTGGCAATAAGATTCGCAAAGCGATCAGTAAACGATCGATTCGAGGAAACGTTAAACAATAATTTACACTTTGATTTCAAGAGATTTCGCTGATTTTCTCCAAGAGAAAAGAATTGCACGCATCTTGGAACGAATTGTGGAGCGGTATGAAAAACGCCGCGTACGCGTACGCAAACACTCGATGCATTTTTCGATCGGTAAATATTGAGCAATGTTCCTTTCAATCTTGCCATTGTCCGTCGAAAAAATCGATCTTTCGAAGATTAACGGAATACCGCTAACTAATATGCGTTGATCGACACGAGAAACGATCGCTCTCCATTCTTCGTGTTTTCAATCGAGGTTATATCTTCTTCCGATCAAAGCTACTTAGAAACACATGAAGAATGTTTCGCACACCGTGACTTACAAGTAAATATACGGAGAGAGAGAGAGAGATACGCGTATAGCTCATTCGTTAGCGTGTTCGTTTAACACTTTGTGCACAACTTCATAGCCGGTCTCGAACAGGAATAAACGCTCTTGAAGTTTACATTACAACGTTTTTGCGTAATACGTTCTTTTATCTGCTGTTCTTCTATCTATCTAACTATATTTCGTTTAAATATTCATTTATATAGAAACTTCTTTCTTACTCCTGCATTTCTTGTATATAAATTTATCCTTCTTTTTTTTTAGATATAGTTAAGATATATTCATAAGTATGCATGATAATTCGACATATCCCGATTATAGCGACTTTCGGGTTTGTCTGCTCATGGGAAAGTTAACGAAGCTTAATGGAACTCGAGAAGAAAACGCGAAGAAAGAGAGCATCGATGACAAATCGTGTCGTTTGATATCTTATGATCAGTGGCTTTCGCTCTCCGTTTTGGCACAATCGTCGCCGCAATAGGTTAACGCTTG